TTTTTTTTTTTTTTTAGCAAATATGTTTTATGATATATTTTGAGCAGAAATTCAGAAACTTAGCTTACTTTTTCTGCTTGAGTTGACATTATTTCAATCACGATAGATTTCTGACAAGGAAATACACTCTAGGATGGGTCGATCACTCCTAATAGAAAAATATCCTTTGGAGAAGCTTACTTGCCTTTTTTCTATCTGCATCAAGTTCCTTTAGTTCAAGCTGTTCCCCTAACACTGCAGATTCCTGTGTGTCTCAAATTAGCCCATGTTACCTCTAACACTGTCCTCACATAATAGGAAAAAATATTTTATTTCTGATAAAAATCTTATTTCATCTGGGACTTGTTAAGTGATAGGTGTTAATCAAATACGATTATAAAAAATAATATTAACACTTCCTTAATATTAGCATACAATATCATAATAGTCAAGAACTTTCACAATTAAATAATAACTATGCTTTCAAGCATGAAGGAAACAGGCATTATTATCACAGTTTTACTATGAAAATAAAGAACGTTCAATGCTTTCAGATGATTTAAATCATAAGCCAAACTGTCCCAATATAGATATCAATCTCTAACTTCCATTGAAATAAAATAAAATACATATTTTAATTAATATATATTACTTTCTTAAGTAATATATATATATATATTATTTTCTTTATTGATATTTAAAATATACTTAGCTTTGAGGACAATATTATCTTCTATAATCTAATATAATCGTATACATATAATACATATTATATATATTTATATAACTATATATCAAATATAGACATATATTTGATATATCCCTGGGTATCAGGGAATATATTATATTAATATAATACAACCATACATGCATATACACATACATACATATGTGCATACACACACACGTGTATGCACATTGCTATCCCAGTAGCAATCCACAGCTACTGGGAGCTGACCCACATGGTGCAGCAGACCTCTCTTGATTCACCCACTGTTCCCCTCAGTAGTGTACTTCAATAGGTCCCCTACTCTGTTCCCCAGTTTGTCTCTGGTGAATCCTCTCATTCCCATACCTCTGCCCTAGAGTCTGGTTCTTGTATGTACAAATAAATATAAATCTTTAAAAAATAAATAAAATTACTGGGATGGAGTTATTTAAAAAGAAAATTCTACTTGGTGATTTATGACATGCATGTAAACTCATAATACACTGTCGCATAAACATCCATTTAGAGACATGGAATCTGAAATCTGGATTTGGGACAGGCAGGCTATGAAGAGAGATGAATTACTAGTACCAAGATCCTTGGACAAGCTGTCATGTGTGGAGTTAATTGTCAGAATGTGTTATGGATCATTGAAGCAGCAAGATCTGTTTCCTGTATTCTATAGACAGGTAAAATTCTTGAGAGTAGTGACAATGACTTGGACCCTTTCCAATGTATACCTGTGTGCTCTGTACACCTATGGACCATGAGAATATTTTGAGATGCATCTATTGCTAGATACTAATGTAAGAAATCACTCTTCGGCCATGCCAAGAGATTGAAGAAATAAGCAGCAGAAAGAGTAGAACTGAGTTTATACAAGAAAGTGGATACACCTGTATTTCCTTCTCATCAATCATGTCCTGTCAGGTTGTTTAAGGAAAATGCTTGCAAGGACGAGTATGGGGAACATTGCAGAGTGGAAAGGAGGGACCAACTGAAAGGTCATATTTCACTCCAACTGGCTGCTTTGATTTGCTTGTCCAGGTCTGATTTCTTACACTTTCTGTACCTCATTAATTTCTGTGATTGATCCTTTTTTTTTTCTCATATATTTTCTAAAAAATTTATTTATACATACAGAACAGGGGTATAAGCCACAGAACAAACTGATGAAGTACACTGCTGAGGGGAACAGTTTGTGAGACAGGAGAAGCCTGCTGCGCCATGTGGGTCTGCTCCCTGTCTGGGGTTTGAACTCCTGCTGAAGCAGTTACAGCTAGCTTCAGTGCTGTGCTTGAACCCATTATGCCACCAGAAAAGGCCCCCCTCATGTATTTTTATCACTTATTTTTAATTTACTTGTATTCACACAAGTATGTGTTACCTATTTTGTTCAGATCTGTGTATCCGGCACTTACCAAAATTCCTGACACATTAGAAGAGGCTCAAGTAAAGTTTTCTAAATAACTTGAAAACAGAATATTGACTATATCAATAAAAATAATTTAAGTAATAGTTCAGATCTTTTTTGTTGTTGTTGTTATAGCTTAGCTAACATTTTCGTGTGTCCAGAGTGAAATATACAGGTGACATTGAACAATTTAAATATATATGTATATACATATATATATATACACACACACATATATAAGTATATATATATATATATATACGTATAACGTATATATATATTCAATTTTGCACTGTACAGTGCATTCATACAAATATGTTGCTAAGGTGTGGCAGATCTCAACCAGGACTTGAAGCTAATGTGGTTTTGAAATATAGACATAAATGCTCACATCATGCAGGAATTAGTGATGACTATTCTATTAACTATGTTCATATCTTGGCTTCTCTAAACACACACACACACTTATATGTTGGATATATAATAGGTTTAACCTATATGTTTCTATAATAAATAAATGCCTGAGTAATGAGTAGACTGGATGCTGGAAGTAATAAACAACATCAGTGGTTTCAAACATTAATTTTCAAGCAATACTGCTTATGAAAGACATAATCTCCAGTGGAACAATTAATGGAGACATATATATATATATATGCTATATTTTTACTTTTCTGAACACTGGTGCAATCATCTTATCTTCTAAATCCTGAAATCATCAGGATCACCTCAGATAACAGTAGCATAAAAATCCAACATACAACTCTTCTTTCTCAGACTTAGAATAAGCTATCTTTGCTTAATATCTTCTCACTTTATTTCATTTTTAGAGCACAAACCTGAGACTTGGCCTCCTATCTTAAATTCTGGCTCCATTCCTTGACTGTGTTATAGGTTTGCTTGTAATGGATCACAGATTGTGAGCAAACCCACCTGATTTGGCTGGTTCCATATTTTAGCTCTTAACCTGTAACAGTGTCTGTAGTGACATTGCTCCTCTGGTTTGCTTGATCCACTTCCTTGAATAAGACCCATTTTCATTTAAATTGCTAGCTATAGTCTACTTTGAAAACAGATTACTGCCTATAAATAGTCTAGAACAAGATATCACCTAATGGAATTTGTTGTAAACTGCATAAATTCTACTTTGCTCTAGATCTTACAAACTAGAGTAAACTCAAGTCTTGGCTTTTTGCCTTTTACTCCCCAAAACAGGCTAGTTTTCTCACTTACTTTCACAGATGATAGCAACATGCAAACTCTTTAATAAGACCACTTGTCACAGTGCCCTTTATATTAGCCCATCAAACGTTCCAAGTCCATTCTCATCTTAGAGTCTATACTTTACTGTGTCCTCTGTTCTTTATTTATTTCTTTAATATACACAAGGGAAAATTTCATTTATAGTTTATGCCTCAGCTAAACTTATCTTTTTGAAAATTTCATCCCAGATCATTCTTCAATTATTTCCTCCACCCACCAATCTTCTTTAAAATCTTTTATCACATATTCTTTTTTTTAACAATTTATTTATTTATGCATACAGAATGTGGGTACAGGCCAGAGGTGCAGGGGCAGTGAGAGGATTGACCAGAGACAGAGTGAAGAGTAGCACAGGCAGATTGACAAAGTACACTGCTGAGGGGAGCAGTGGGAGGGTTAGGAGAGGTCTGCCATGCTATGTGGGTCACCTCTGGGGCTGGGGATGGAAATCATGCTGAAGTGGCTTTAGCTTCTTAGTGCTGTGCTTTAATCTGCTGCACCACCAAGGAGGGCTCTCACATATTCTATTTTTATCTCTTTTTTGATACTTAGTATTGCAAAATATCTTATTGTTTATATTTTCACTATTTATCTAACTTTTTTTTAGAATGTAATTACTTTGAGGGCTGCTGCCTTTGCTACAATGTCACCACTTTCTAGTTCAACAAATATTTTTGAAGTAAACCATCCAGAGATTAAAGGTTGACACTAATTTAAATGAGAAATTAATGAGCTATTTATCATTTTCTTCCGTATTTTGCATATGAAAATTATTGTTTCAGACATTAAAATACTAGTGCTTGTGCTTTAGAACATGCTAAATTTACAGCAAATTATTACATATCTGTAAGATAGTAGGGACTTAGAAACCTATTTTTATGTGTTTGTATGAATTATTTTCTCAAAAAATTGTGTTGTTGTGTAGACAAAAAGATGTACTTTGCAAAGGCATCTATAACTATGCATCTATAATTTCCCATCTCCTGACAAAATTTACACATTATTATTCATGTCTCTCTAATTCAATTACATGAAGATACAAAATTCTCAGAAAGATCTGGAAGAAATATTAGCTTTTGGCTTGAGAAAGACCTCAAGGGGCTATGAATTTGAAGGCTCTCTCCTCGACTTGACTTCTGCCAGGAAAAAAGCTCTCTGAATCCTGGAAAATCATTAAATAGTTTTGACTCTCTTCTATAAGTTATGTATAGATCCCTTGTATGAAGATGAATAATAGCATGTTCGTTAATGCTATTCAACCAAGAACTATTCATTATGTTTCTGCTATAAGCCAGATAAAATGACAAAAGTTCTTCTTACTCTTAAGATGTCCTTCAATTATTTTAATTAAATAATTTAATTTTGGAAAAACTAGGTTCATTCTTAGATCTTGAGATGACAGTTTATCTTGGGATACTAAACAGACTCTTAAAAAAAAAGATTTATTTATTTATGCATACAGGAAATGGGGTATAGGCCAGAGGTGCTGGGGGAGAGAGGATTTACCAGAGTCAGAGTGGGGAGCAGAACAGGTGGATCTTTTGAATACACTGCTGAAGAGAGCAATGGGAGTGTCAGGAGAGGTCTGCCACTTCACGTGGATCAGCTCCCTGGCCAGGGATTGAACTTGTACTGCAGTGGCTATGGATAGCTTCATATTGTCACACTTAAAACAGCTGTGCCACCAGGGAAGGCCTTGAGACTCTTTTCATCAAAAATGTTAGAATCAAGTTGGAGAGCAAAGATGTTGCATTCACAATATTTATAAGGCATTTATGGTTATTTGACTTCCTCATACAACATTCTTAGAAACTAGACACCTGAAGAGAGTTAAAATTGTCTAAAGATGATAGAGTGAGGTGAACAGCAGTTTTATTAAACTGTAGTTTTTATTCACTTGAAGTCAGTTAGCATTCTATCTGACTTTATAACTACAGTTTATGAGTCTCACACATATCTTATGTGAGATTGGTTGCAGTCAAACTCCTGTAACATGAAAAGCATTTATAGCTCACTATGCCAAAAGGAGTGTCAAGATCTCAAAGTTTATAGCGGGAAATTGTCATCCAAGAGAACCTTTCTCTTTGATTCTGATCTCTGGTAATAACTATGATCATGCTTACCAGGTGTTTTCCATGTGCTGAGAATTATTCTAGTTATTACTTTTTTTTTTATCTCCTCACCTTTATTATAGAGCCTCTCTTTCTAAATTCAGACTATGGACATGATATGGACAGGAGAGGTCTGCTGCGCCATTGGGTCACCTCCCTGGCCAGGGGTGGAACTACTGCTGCAATGACCACCGTTGGCTACATAGTGCTGACACTTTAACTCCTGTGCCATCAGGGAGGCCCATCTACAATTTTTATAGAGCAATATATAACATAACTTGGATATAGTCAGAGTTTAGAATACACTGCTATAAGTATTTTTCATAAATTAAAAAAAATCATAGAGCAGTGACTTTATTAAGATGTATTATATTTGACTTTATAAAATAAAGGCAAGTTTCCCTAAAACTACTAAATATCATATTTACTTGGATAAATTAAATATAGAATAAGATAATCACAGTGGAGGGAAGTTGTTAAAATATCTAGCTATTCATTCTAAAGCTACATTAATTCCAAAGATCTAAACCATATGAAGGAGTGGATTGTCATTAGACCAACACTTTTTATTAATCCCTCTACTGCAACTCTTCTAAGATGTCCTGATAAAACTAGTTATGATAGCAACAAAGGGATTTTGCTTATATCTAAGTCAAGAAAATGCCTATGTGAGACCAAGTCCTTGGGAAGGAGAACTGTCACCAGGTCCTTCACAGCCATTGCAGTAGAGGAGGTATTCAGGCGAGAGCTCCAGAAAATATCGTTATTGTATTTATGTTACCTCTGTTTTATATAAAAGACATGTGCCCAGGGCCCTCCCTGGTGGCACAATGGGTTAGGATGCAGCACTGCAGGCTGGCCTCAGCTGCTTCAGTGCCAGTTCGATCCCTGGCTGGGAGGTGATCCACATGGCACAGCAGACCTCTCCTATCTCGCTTGCTGCTCCCCTCAGCAGTGTACTTCTTCGATCTGCCTGTTCTGCTCCTCACTCTGTCTCTGGTGAATCCTCTCACTGCCAATGCACCTCTGGCCTGGACCCCAGTTCTGTATGCATAAAAATAGATGTGTCCAAATTGACCGTTAGGAGGCAACCTCCTTTTCCAATAAAAGTGTTAAATATATACTAATATACAATACAGTATATTGAAGTCTATGAAAGCTAGCATTTATTTTTCTAATTAATGTAGCTAAGTGATCACAAATACAGAAGACACAACCTTTTCTTAATTTAAAAACTTATTTATTAAAAACTCTTGTGCCGGCCCTCCCTGGTGGCGCAGCGGGTTAAAGCACAGCACTGAGAATCTGAAGCCACTTCCGCATGAGTTCAATTCCCGCCTGCGGCTTGCCCCGGAGGAGACCACATGGCGAGCCAGACCTCTCCTGACCCGCCCGCTGCTTCCCTCAGCAGTGTACTTCGTCGATATGCCTGTTCTGCTCCCCACTCTGTCTCTGGTGAAGCCTCTCACCGCCCCTGAGCCTCTGGCCTGTACCCCAGTTCTGTATGAATAAATAAATAAATCTTTAAAAAAAAAAAAAAAAAAAAAAACTCTTGTGCCACTTCCTTGTGGCACAAGAGGTTGTCTCAGAACTATGAAGCTATCTGCAGCCACAGCAGTATGAGTTTGATCCCCAGCCAGGGAGCTGATCCATACATTACAGCAGACCTCTCCTGTCTCACCTGCTGCTCCCCACTGCTGAGTATTTCAGTATACCTGCCTGTTCTTTCCCCACTCTGTTGCTGGTGAATCCCCTCACACCCCTCTACACCTCTGGTCTACACCCCAGATCTTGTATGTGTAAATGCATAGAAAACAAAAGAAAATATAGGAATATAGAGAGAACAAAAATAGCAAACATAAAATACCAATCTTTATTAAATATTTAAATATATTGATTATATAAAATGTTTGCTATATATTTATATAGTTATCTAAAATATATTATGCAGACTTACATACACACATATATACACACACATACTGATAATATGTAAATGATTCTTCATTCATCCAGAGTTAATAATAGCATCTTGGTTAGTGATATAAGCCTGTTTATTCACAGCTTTATAGAACAAATGCACCAATATGGTGAAAAATGAAGCCTAGAACTCAACACAGCTTGAACCTTGAGTCAATTTACTGTAACTGCAAAACAACAATAACAACAAAAGAATTGGTCTCCTAAAAGAATATCAAAGCACTTATGAACGCTATAACCATATTACTTTGCACAATGTCTGGAATGTCTTAATACATCAAGGGCAGTGATGAGCATATCCTTGTTTTGTCTGCCAACACAGAGTAGTGATGGTTCACAGATGCAAACTTACCTTGTCAAGAGCTGCCTTCTCCAGCTCCCGTTTCGCTGCAGCTAATTTCTGCTCCAGCTCAGTAAGTTGCTGGGCCTGTAAAATGAAAAAGAAAAAGAAAAAACCTTTTTAGTGAATCACACAAATCACTCTCTAAGCTTTAAGTACCTTTTATTTATTAACAAAAAAATAAGAAACATGAGATTCATTCAGAACCCAGCTTAGGAATACTGTATTAGAAGTTCATTTTGTTAAGCCTCAGAAAATGTTCTCAATGATTATGTATTTTACTAAACAAAACATGTAGTTCCAAACGTACATCTCAGATTCTTAAAAGGTCTTGTGATAAAAAAATCCATCACTCATGCTTCTAGTTGTGATGGGCTGAACTGTGTCCTTGAAAATATCACATATCATTGCTTTATAATCACTCGGGTGATTATATTTAGAGACAAGGTCTTTAAGGAGATAAGGTTAAATGAGACCCTAACATGATTGGTGTCCTCAGAGGAGGAGGAAAACAGACATGTATCCCCCTTCTGGACCAGGCTCACACAGATTCTCACATGTGAGAGTGCAATGGGAAGGCTCCAGCTGCAAGCCCTGAAGAGCTCTCACTAGAAACAAAGCTGCCATCACACCTTGACCCTGTATTTGTAGTTTCCAGAATTATGAAAAATAAATTTGTTGTGTTTAAATCACCAATCTGCTTTTTTTTAAAATGGAAGCAAAAACCATCTGATACATAGTGTTCACTTTTTATATTATCCCATCAAATAAAGTATATTTACTTCCCTTTCCCCCATCTGATTTGTGATTTAGTATTTATGGAAATTCCTCAACACAATGTATTTTAGTCCTTCTTCATTTCCTGCCTTCTAGTGATAAATATCTAGCTGTTTTATTTTTATTTTTTTTTGGTGAACTTCTTTGAAGTTTAGGGAATATAAAAATATGTATAGTTCACCTTCTTTTGTAAAGGACTTGAAAGAATTTTCAGAATAATTATACTAAAATTTAAACATAAATAAAACATGAGTTCTGAAATGACATATGACTTGTGAACTGGATGGGGAAGTAGACTGTTGTAGTGACAGCAGAAGTAGACTTAAAATAAGGTCATAAAGTGCTATCTATTTGACTTAATGGAGTTGTAAATTTACTCAAGAACTTCTAGCAGTCATATGTAAAAAGATGCTTTGGAGACCAAAGATTCATGGGAAATAAATATACCAGAGACATAGAGGTGCAAGGTTTTCTGAATAATACATTGTATTATAAAATTTTAGCAAACAGACATTTCAATTCAATTTGGAAAATTGAATTTTTTTTTTCAGGAATGAAAAATAAAGTCCAAATTCAGAGTTCATCAGAAACCAAGTATAGGACCTAAGATACATGGACGTGTATTTGTATGTGTCTGCAATTTTGTACCAACACACAAAAAGCAATATGGGAAGAGCACAAATTGACTTGCTTCTGAGATCAGGCACAGTAATTCCATACTTTCTCATCCACTGTAAATGACTGAGATAACAATGAATAATATACAGCTTTAGATATCAAGATATACAAATCTAGAATTTCTTTTTTTTTTTGGGGGGGGTCACCATTGAATCTAAAAATCATCATTGTCTTCCACATAGTCAGTAAATGAAATTTAAAAAACTTAAATATCAGGCTAAAATGAGTAGATATGAGAAACAGCACAAGCTTTCAAATGCTGACTAAAGTCCCAGTTACTTCATCTTTTGACATAACATATAAAACGGGCGCCACAGGGATACCAGAATTATGATGTCCAGCCACTACATCCTGGCACAGCTTTCTGCCCGGAAAGATTAAATTGGAAACTGTCCCATTCAGCACCAGATCAGGGAAGTGTGTATACAGACTCTGAATATGGAATCAACCAGAACCTCTTTCTCATTCTGTGGCCACTACAGGGTTATAATAGGTAAACTCAGAAGGCTACTATGAATCATTGACTGATGACGTAGGAAGGGAACTGCAATAGCTGGAAGTAACTAATGCTGATGAAAAGAAGGGCTTTTAGAGGACATCAGTAAAAAAGGTCAGGCATATTAAATTTTTTTCTACTAAAAGATTTGCTTTATTATTAGTACTCAGATGGTACCTGCTATACATTTTATGACTTTTTTTTTTTAACTCATGCAAAAGTGGCTTAAGCTTCTTTGTGCTGTGCTTTAACCCGCTGTGCCACCAGGGAGAGCCTATGACTTTTAAGAATACACAGGGGACCCTCCTTGTTGGCATAGGAGTTAAGTCTCAGTGCTATCACCACTGATGCCTGAGTTCAATCGCCCGCCAGGGAGCTGACTCACAGTAGTAGCAGACCTTTCCTGTCTTGCCCGCTGCTCCCCTCAGCAGTGTATTTCAGTGGATCTACCTTCTCTGCTCCTACTCTGTTTCTGGTGAATCCTCTCAGCTCCTACACCTCTGACCCACACTTCATTTCTATATATAAATGTTAAAACAAAAAACAAACAAACAAACAAAAGAACACAAACACACAAATGTGTTTCAGCAAAAGATGTACACATATTATTTGGGCAGTGAGCATAAGAAAATGTCCATAGTGGTATGAAAAAGAATTTTACATCTTAATTCTTGATTTTTATATTGTATAATTTGTGACATTTTAAAATATTTTGTAACCTACATTTTTTAAAAAATACCTCCTCATGTCGGGCCCTCTCTGGTGGCACAGTGGTTAAAGCACAGCACTAAGAAGCTAAAGCTACTTAGGCATGAGTTTGATTCCCTGCCCCAGAGGTGATCCACATGGTGCGGCAGACCTCTCTTGACCTGCCTATTGCACCACTCAGAGGTGTATCAGTTGGCCTGTTCTGCTCCCCACTCTGTCTCTGGTGAATCCTCTCACTGCCTCTGCACCTCTGTCCTGTACCCCAGTTCTGTATGCATAAATAAAAAAAATCTTAAAGAAAAAAAATACCTCATTTCTGTCTAATAAACTACTGGAAATCATATTTATGTATATTCTAAATCTGATCATTTTCCATGTGTTTGCATGTGGAGGCAAAACAATATGATACTGATAAAACAGTATCAAGTAAGTCTTTTAAAATTTTTCCACACAAGCACTCTATCTGGTGTTTAATATTGTCTCCATTCTTTTTAATTGAGAAAATTAGGGAGAAACAGACTTACTAAATATTTTATTCAGAGGCTCTTATCTAGGACTTATATAATAGTTCTGGAATTCAATCCTTTGTATCTGTAGCTGGTCTTCTATCCAGGAAAAATATGATTAAATATCATTTATAATGAATAACCATGCATATGTTGAATAGCACATATTTAAATTTAGTGATAGCCTTTGTGATTACTAAACATCTGGAGACCACTCAGAAGATTGGGGAATTTTGTGAGATTAAGATCCAAGGAGGATAACAAACTCATAAAAAAGATAGAGATGTCCTTTACTACACACTATGGTTTATATAGTAGTTGGTGAAAGGAAATGATAGGATTGGATTTTTATGCATGATTTAATTCATTTATTAATACCTATGAAACACATCAGCACTTAGATGCTGTGGATATCATCACCATCTTTACATATCATTTTACTCTTGAGTTAAAGAGGCAGAAAAGCTACAGCAGCTACTTACTTCTTTCCTTCCTAAAAGCATCAAGCTGGAGCACCCAGATGATTTTTGGCCATAAGATTCTTTGATGCAACATCTGCTTGCTCATTTCAATATTAATAACTCAGGAGAAATACTGAGAAACAGACTTGAGTGACTAATATATGCAAAAGGACCAAATTTAGATCACGATTTACACAGGAATAACTTAGCATAATATCTACTTGTAAGTGCATTAAAAGCAAATTTTAATATACCAAAGTTATAAAGTTCAATAAGTGTTTCTATTGGGAAATAAGAACAGACATGTATCATTTTCCTCAATTTTAAGTTTAGATAAATTTTATCATATTGTCATCATATTGTGTTTGTAAAACATCTAGACTTTGGATGAAACTGCTTTATACCCTATCTCAGTCATACTTTTTTTTTTAAGATTTATTTATTTATGCATACAGAACTGGGGTGTAGGCCCGAGGTGCAGGGGCAGTAAGAGGATCCACAGACAGAGTGGGGAGCAGAACAGGCTGACTGACGAAGTCCACTGCTGAGGGGAGCAGCAGGCAAGACAGGAGAGGTCTGCTACACCATGTGGGTCAGCTCCCTGGCTGGGGATTGAACTTGTGCTGCAATGGCTGTGAGTCACTTCATTGTGCTGTGCTTTAAACCAGGGTTTGCAGGGGTGGGCCTGGGAGTTGGTTTCTTTTTCTTCTCATCAATATTATAATGACACACCATTGAATGAAATAATGCTAGTCAATGACTGGCTATACCCTACCCCTTCAAGTTTCTTGGATCAGAGAAGACCCACCAAGACTTGGTTAAACTACATGTTAGTCTTACTTGTGTGACTCAGGTGAAATCCATAGGGTTTTCAAGGTATTCTGGAAAAGACACTGGTCATCTTCAAGTGTCAGCCATTTATTGCTTAAGGATAGCTATGTAGTAAAGGTGGAGGTGAAAGGATCCAACAGAGGGTTGGTAGAAAGTACTTTAGGTGAATAAATTTCATGCTTGTATCCATGCAGACTAGTCCAACTTAATTCCTTATTATTACACTTGCTATTTATTGATCTGATTGTTGATGTACATTCCCTCACCAGACCATAGATTCATTCACAACAAGACTTTTATGTTTTGGTAACCATGAATTGATAATTGTAGAATAGTGCCAACACAGAGTGAATGCTTAATAACTATCAGATGAAGCAATGAGCAAATGAGCAAATTTAAAACTGACACCATAGACTTTACAAAGAAAATAGGTTTCTTATCCTCCAAAGTCCTTAATTGTTTCCCTTTTTGTATCTGAAGAGTCTCTGCTTTTTTCTAGTTCAACATTTGAGTGCTCACTTGAACAGCCAAAGAACGCTCCTCTAGGAGTCCTTTTAACCTACCACTTAGATCTCTTGTCTTTGGCAGTCAGCTGCTGTGACAGATAATGGTTGCTCTTCTATCAAGCAC